CGGGTTGAGCCCAGGTATTACAGCTTAGGCTTCATTTTCTGAAGAAGGGCCTAGGCCCGAAACGTCAGCCTCCCGCTGTGTTCATCCAGCTCTATACACCTTGTTATTACAGTTTAGGCAGCAGGTTGATCCCGAGCCGGGCCCGCACCTTGCCTGCTCTCCAGCCGCGGATGAGACGGGAGTGTGTGCTGCGGGACGGCGGGGTGACACTCCATGGAGACGGTAAGGGGGCAGGGGGTGGGGGAGGTGCCGGCACCGGGTACCGCGCTTGCGCACCAGCGCCGCCTTCCCGTCCTGCTCTCCGTATTATGACGTCGCCACGGCCGTGGGAGGAGGTGGGGCCAGAAGCGGGCGGGGCGCGACGTGAGGTGGGGGGGCGGGGCCTGAGGGGAAGGGCGGGGCACCGCGTGGGCGTGTCGATGGGGCGTGGTTAGGGGAGGGGGCGGGGCGTGGAGTGGGGGTGGTGCCTGGTGCTGGGGAGAAGATGGAGTGGAGCGTCTGCCTGAGGTAGAAAAGGTCAGAAACCACAGGTTAGAGTCCAACAGGTTTATTTGAAAACACTAGCTTTCGGAGCATTGATCCTTCCTCAGGTGTAGTGAGAGAGGAGGCATCAAGACACAGAATTTATATGTATAAGATCAAAGGATCATACAACTGATGCCAATATATTGCATGAAGCTAAAATGGCTGACTGACTCCTTCCTGTTAAATCTTCAATCATTTAGAAAGGTTTCGATTGATTAAGATGCAGATGCCAAAGAGTTTATTTTTAGTCACTGCCCCGAGATAATTAAAGGTTTTTAATCAGTGCAAACAGGAGGTGACATCTCCGGCCAGACAATCCATTTTAAGGTGTCAGGCCTTGTTTAGAATCTGTGTTTTAACCTGGAGTGACACTGGTTTTATTTCCAAAGCAGGCATCTTATAAAATGCACTCAGAGGTAGTAAGAACTGCCGATGCTGGAGTCTGAGATAACGCAGTGTGGAGCTGCAGGAACACAGCAGGCCAGGCATTCTGCTTCTCTGACACTGCCTGGCCTGCTGTGTTCCTCCAGCTCCACACTGTGTTAACTTATAAAATGCCCTATTGATTGATTGTGACTACAGATTGTGCACTTTCTGAACATAACAGACGAATGGAGTGAGAGCACATGAAGTGGCAGGTGAGTCAGTGCACCCTCCACTGGCCCGACATGGAATTGTCAGGGCTGGTCAGAGCGCCACCTGAAGGTTGGAGGTCAGTAGCTGAGCTCATTCACTGTGGTCACCATGTGGCTGCTGTAATGACTCTTGTCTATGATAACATCAGAACTAGCGTGGAAATAGGTGTAGGCCACTCAGCCTATCAAATCTGATTGGCCACTCAATACGATCATGGCTAATTGTGCACTTCAATATCTTTTACCAGGTTGTGGTGGGCAAGTTGTTGGAGGGAATCCTGAGGGTCAGTATTTGCAAGTATTTGGAAAGGCAAGGATTGATTAGGGATAATCAACATGGCTTTGTGCGTGGGAAATCGTGTCTC